TATATTGTAGGTAATTAAGCCGCTTTCAAATTGAAATGTTTTGTTTTTTCAGATTAGTTTGAATATCTTTTTGTGCTCTAAAAAGGTTATGTGACAATTGCAGCTTGTATGAAGAATAAGCTGTGAAACTGTCTTTCTTGGCACCCTTATACTCAATTCCCATTCCTCGTTTTAACACTCCTAATTAAAAGTTCGACTAATCGAAAGCTGCAAAATCTTACGGTTGTTATCCAAACAGACACTTGTGTCCGACTATACATGTACTTATGGCTTCTTTAAATCGTGGAAGAAAATCACTTACATTCTTAACAATGCGGCAAAGAAGACAAATTGATTTTTATTTCAACTCAGCTTGAGGAAATTATATTTTCCCAAGTATTCCATCTCAGTCCATTTTACTTTCGACTTCCGCCTTCTTTGATTCTCAAAATGAAAGTCGATTCCAGCATATTGCGTTATCCGTCAGAAAAAGACACCTTGGAAGAAATTCATATGAAATCAACACACAATATTACGCACTCAAATGAAACCGCTCGGTTTCGATTCTCGATCAAATATCTCAAGTGGAAGGTTGTTCTTCAGATCGTCCGTCTAGTACCTGCACTTCTGGTTCTAAACCTCGTTTTCTACGTGTCAACAAACGAGCTGCTCGTTATGAATTTTGCAGATGTTGCAGTTAGTTCCAGTGTGAAGGGCCAGGCTTTGAAACGATGTTGCCTGTAGAGCGTTTTCACTCACGTGACCAAATTTCTTTATCGTCATGGTAACCGACTTCATCCGCCATGTTGGTGTTCTTTGATAATCAGCTGAGTACTGTGACAGGAAACATTTGGAGTACATTTTACGGTTTTGAGAAGACAATAGTGTAATATTTATATTTTCGTTATCACGGTCCTTTGCCTTGTCATTAGCTGTGGGAACAAAAAAGGGAAGAAGTGGTGTAACGTCGGAAAGTAATGTTTTTTCGTGTCCCACGTGTTCAGGATAGCCAAGGAGAGTACACCGAAGAACTTACTTCAGAGCGAAGAAGAATGTGGATCTGTGCGATAAGTAGAGATGACTTAACTGATGATATTTAAGAACGCGATAGGGTCTGCAGCCGGCACTTCATTTCAGAAGAAGCTGCGAAAGATTGGGATCGATTCCATGTAGACTGGGTCCCTACCCTCCATCTTGAGCATTCAAATATGCAGGTCCATTGTATCGGGCAACTATTTAGTTGGATCGGTAAAGTGATGAGTTGGTGAAAAGAGTATCCGGTCTTTTCGTCCAAGAGTCTTTCCGTCTAAGTACTTTTCATCTGAAGTCTTTGGTCCACTTGTCCAATATCAAGTCTTTTCGTCAAAGTTGTAACATTGTTTTAAATGAAGTAGTAACAAGATATATTTTATCAAATAGTGACAAAAATAAAGACTTGCCGTTTAATTATTTCGCGCAAAAGAAATGGGAATATTAGGCTTGTTGTTAAGCGTCTATTGTGCGTAATAGACAACTATGGGTAACATCAATTAGTGTCCGAAACAACCAACAACATAGTCCAACATGATAAAGAAGTAAAACTAACCAAAAATGATTTATATTACGCTCCTCACTGCCGTGGGAAGTTAAGACTGATCCTGTGATAATATTCAGGCACTTCTAGAACATCTTATTTCCGTTTATAAGAAATATCTAATAAGAAACATCTTCCTCATATTAAGAAACATCTTCTGTCAAAGGCCATAAGATTTAACTGTCACCGTACTACTCCCCACTGAGATTAAATTGACAATAACTGATAACGTAAGAAGAAATCCTGTTTTTCATGCTTAATACGATCAGCCTCTCTTAGATTTCCCGGATGACATTTTCACTTCTAGAAAAACGATAAAGCAAAGTCTGCTTTTTTTGCCTCAAGGAGCAATTTTCATTTTTGTCACAGAGCCGCGCAATCAAATTCAGTATACGTAAGCGTGCTCAAAATCCCGATAGGGTACGCTGATAGTGTGAGCAAACCGCTTCGCTAGAAATCTTTCTTTTTCGCCCGAGCGGCCATGGTTAGCGCGGGGAAAAACTAATACATTTCGCTACAATAATGGATACAAACAGAGACTCCGTCCACGAGTCCCGAAACGAAGACAATTTTCCCACCTTTTCGCTTTGGCTAGAGTTCTTAAATGAGGCAATAAAAAAGAGAAAAACAACGGAAAAGGAGACTCGGCATTAGCGCCGTCACGATTCGCTCCACTGGCCGACAGTGAAATAGAAGTGCCATTTCATTCACATTCACTCATTTCAGTTTCATTTCATTCACCTGGATGGTCCTGACTAATCTATTACCCAGATCCTCTCGTTTAACTCTAGGGTCTGGGTACGAGACTAGGTCCTAACCCTGTCAAGAGCCGCACCTTATCTTAGCGGGGTGGGGTGGGGTGACCTGGGCTACTAAGAATCCACCGATCTCCTAGGAAATTTAATTTCAGCCTGTTCTATTGTTCAGCCCGTGCGCCATGTCCGCCATATCTCAAGCGGGTTTCGATGTCATGGGGTAACTCCTGTAAGGAGCTT